TTAAAAAGGAAGTAAACACTGTAACCAACAGGGCACTCAGTATTCTGGGAAGTTTGTGTGCATTAATATGTATTGCCTCATATCGAATCGCTTATAAAGAAAATATCGATATATCGTACAAACTCGATATACTGCCCAGCCCTAATTTGCAGTAAAGGAAGAAGGAAATATATCACAAAAGCAGACTCTTTCATGACTCAGAAAATGATGTGTTCTCATCTCGTACAGCAGAAGTAGAAGTGGTTCAATCAAAACGCTGCATTTATAACTGCATGAGAGGACAATATAAGGTGTAAGTTTCATGCTGACATGTTGCAAGCTTTATTTAACATCACAACTGACAAACATATGGAATACTCGCAGTCAGATACGCAAATGATTATATTTTGACGTCACTAAAGGGAATTAAGCTGATTTGTTAATAAAGTCATGTAAACGCAGCTTACTTGCGTTGTCAGGTTACTGATGTGCATGTAAACGGGCAAACATGCTTATTTTAATAAGCTGATATTTGTGAGTTATCAGATTACTGGTATGCATGACATGTAAACGTGCTCATTATCTATACAGTAATATAAATGAATGGAATAATAATGGATCCTCTTCAGTTTTATTTTATTTATTTATTTATTTTTAATTTTATATATATATATATATATTTTATTTTTTTTTATTTTTTTTTCCAATTTATTTTAATTAATTTTTGTATTTATGCACACTATTATCCCTTGTTTTTTACCCCTGAAGTAAACTAGATACATGAAATTTAGTGAATTAGAAATGAATTTTTTTTTTGCATTACAGTAGGCTGCTGACTATAGTGAAGGCTTTATTTAAATATGCTTATTTTGATGACAGTGATGTCAAGCACACACAATTCTTTTATTTATTTTATTTTTTTTATGCACATTGTTTCCTTGTTGATTTTTTTTTTTACCACTGAAGAAATAAAATTTCTATATGTACTTTTATTAGTACATTACTGTAATGCTGATTTTACAGTAAGCTACTGACAGTTGGGAAGGGTGGATTTAAATTTGCTTTATTTTGATAACAATATTGTCAAAATGCATTATTCATTTTCTTTCTGCAAAATATAATTTTCATGTTTTTCCCCACTTTTGATTGAAATATGACCTGTGCATATCTTGACAGCTTTTGTAAGATTCCCCCAGCAGTCTTAATTAATGTTATTAGCATGAGTTATTTTTTATGCAGCTGAGGTCAGGGTTTGCTTGTGGTTTACTGAGCTAGTGTCAGGGCTGAGGAATCTCAGGGACATTCTTAGACAGTTCCTGAGCGCTGCACGCTGTAGTAGAAGGACAGCGGTTAGACCTCCCCAGAGCTCAGAGTCAGGTCAGTTTACTTCCTGTTCCTGAACACTGTGGCACGCGAAGCATGCTCTGCTTACTGCGCCGTTCTGGCAGCCGTCACAGCTAGTGACAGTGTTCGTTATTTCAGCAGAGAGAAGACAGGAGAGGACAAGAGCAGCTTGTTTCTCAGGTCAGCAGATCTCTGTCTTAGGTCAGAATCGTAGTGTCTCATTATGCTTCTATTTATTGTGCCTTAAACAGTAACAAGATCTTAAGTAGATTTATTTCCATGGCTAATGTAGCTTTGTTTGCGTACAGTACAATGACTTGATTGAATGCGGTGCTGAATGTGGCTCTTGGCGTGTTTTCAGATGATGATAGTGAGCCCATTCTGGGGCTGTGGTTTGAAGAGACTATTTCTCCCAGTAAAGAGAAGGGGGCACCTCCACCTCCCCCTCCACCCCCACCTCTGGAAACATCCCCGAGACTCAAGAGCCCCAGCAAACTGAACACGGCAGAGAATGGCAACATCCTGGCTAGTCGCAAGGACCCGGAGTTGGTAAGGCCACGATGTGTATTGCAATGCTGATTTTGACTAACTTTGCTGCTAGAACTTAAATGTTGTTTTATGTCGTGTACAAACACATTTGTTGCATAACTCATAACCAACCAACAAGTTAATACTTGTTGTTATTATTATTATTATTAGTGGTCGACCGATATTGGTTTTTTGATAGCCGATGCCGATATCTTGGAAAGCAGGGTGGCCGATATAAATTTTATTTATTTTAATGAATGTTTAAGAAAGATTAAAAAGTAAATGTGTTAAATAAACATACTTATACTTTAGATGACAAAGTATTTTTCACAAATAAATATTTAATAAAAAATATAATAAAAAAGGAAGTACACTGTACTGTAAACACTGTAACCAACAGGGCACTCAGTATTCTGGGAAGTTTGTGTGAATTTGGGAATATTTTTTCAAATAAAGCCAACGTAACACTCATTTCACATACAGCACACAGTGGAAATGACATGAATATGGCAGTGAGCAAATGCATAAAGCGCAGCATAATTTGAAATCACGAGTTTAAAGTTTGTCGATCGCGCGTCTCCAGTGAAGCTGAACTCTCCACCTGTCTGCATTCAATTCACACGGATCGACCGTCACGCAGAGAACACGCGATCATGCAGGATACAAATGAACACTTCACAAGATCTCACAACTGGATCCGACTTAAGTTTGCAAGCTTTGTGAAATTAAATATTGTTGCTCTTTTGTTAGTTTTGACTGCTTTTATTGTCCTCATTTGTAAGTCGCTTTGGATAAAAGCGTCTGCTAAATGACTAAATGTAAATGTTCATTAGTCATACAAAGATTTGTTTAAATTATATAAATGCATATTTGCTGAATGCTGACGGCAAACAAGAAAGTATTATAATATTTGCCTTTCTATTACTAATAATAATAAAAGCAATCGTTATAATACTTTTTGTATACATTTTATTTCTTTTGTTTAGCCGTTCTATCTGATTATTAGACAGACTTCTGTCCGTGTTAACAGAACTGTTAACGACGACAGCGAACAAGAGGGAGAATGTGAGCACTGTGCTCAGCGAATTAAAAGTTGAATGCATCGGCCAAACAGGAAAACTTATTAGCCGATGCCGATATTAAAAAAAAAAAAAAAAGTATCGGCCGATATTTCGGTCGTTAGCTGCTCAAAATCAGAAAACTTCTGAGGCTGTTTTGATGTTGAATCAAAATTCATAATATTTTCTGTATTTTACTATTTAATTAAGTGCATTCAATTTTTTTGTCATTCAGATTGTTCTTATAAATACAAAAATAGTGCTTTTAATTGTGATATTTCAGCCATGCCATTAGGTTGTCAGAATAAGTCCAATATAACTGTCATATCAGCAAAATAAATAAATAAATGTAATTTAAAAAATATTTTAAATAATATTAAAAATCTCTGGAGTTTTATATTTGCATTATTTTTTATATAATTATATATTTTTATAATTATTTAAATATTTTTTTATTATTATTTATTTATGACATGATGACAGAAATGGGTTGCTGTTCCATGTTGACTTAAAGACGTATTTTTTTTCCCGTTTTTTGAAATGTATAATTTTTATATATTATATATTATTTTTCAGTAATGTATAATTATTTTTGTATATTATTTCATTTATTTACTTCACATTGCATGAGTGAAGTTTTCATGTTGACCTAAAGAGACGTTGTTTCTTCCAGTTTTTGAGTTTGGCCTCAAGCATACTGAACTTCATCACCACCACCATGCTCAAGTCCAGAAACAATTTCATTCGCAACTACCTGAGCGTGTCCCTGACGGAGCAGCACATGGCCACCCTCGCCAGCATCATCAAGGATGTCGACAAAGATGTCAAAGGTTTTTTTTTTTTTTAACTCCTATTTCTGATCTTACATTTAGGCTTCCATTTAGGCTTTTCCTAACATGTAACCTTTTTTGTCCAGGTTCCTCTGATGAAGAGTTCGCCTCAGCCCTCTATCACTTTAATCACTCTCTGGTAACATCAGACCTGCCCTCTCCATCCCTACAGGTAAATTTTGAAATATGCTTAAAAAAATAACTAAATATTAATTGAACACATTTTAAATAGATGTCAGGTATCTGATACCTTGTTTTCTTGAACTTTTCTTCAGAACACTCTTCTGCAGCAATTGGGTGTTGCCCCGTTCTCAGAGGGACCCTGGCCCATGTACATTCATCCTCAGTCCCTCTCAGTGCTCTCCAGGTTACTGCTGATCTGGCAGCATAAAGCCAGCCAGCAAGGGGAGCCTGATGTACCAGAATGCATGAAGGTCTGGGAAAGGTATGACATCACTTAATCTTACAGAATTACACCTCTTTTCTTAAATCTAGCATTGGATTCTTCACCAAATTCTCATCCGTGTGTATATTATGTGATAGCATCAAGTTCATATAACATTGCGAAACATTCTCAATCTGAATGTGTTTTTTTTTTTTTAGGTTTGTGGGCACTCTGAAGCAGCACACACTACAGGGAGCAGTGCCTGCTGACGAGGACCTCAATGTTGAACACCTTCAGCTGCTTCTGCTCATCTTTCACAACTTCTCTGAAAAGGACCGCCGCAGCATCCTCACCCTCTGCATGCAGACCATCGCTGAAATCGCAGCCCACGTGGATTCTCAGCTTCAGGCTGTACCCCTCAACCTGGCCCGCATCTTGCTTGTGTTCGACTACCTGCTGCACCAGTACTCAAAAGCTCCCATGTACTTGTTTGAGCAGGTGCGGATGTAGCTGTACTTTCACTGGAAATATACCACTGTTTTGTAGCTAGTTTGTAACAGTTATTTTTTATTTGCTCACTCAGGTTCAGTACAATCTTCTGACACCCCTGTCATCCAGGGCCAATTCAGGACAGGAGGGAGGAAAGAGAGGTGCTGTCCCACTTTATTATGGTTTCAAAGAGGTAGAAGAGAACTGGGCCAAGCACTGCTCGGCAGGTAGGAGTAAGTCAGATCTCTTATATTTCACTCAGTTGTGCACTTGATGGTCGATATCAAACATACTGCATTACAACAGTTGTAAGCTTTGCTAATCTAGTGCAAGAACTGTTTTGATTGTTGTATGTCTGTCGTCACTCTCATTTAGATTCCACAGTGCAGCCGAAATTCTACTGCGTTCTGTCTCCTGAAGCCTCAGAGGATGACAGGGGTCGACTTGACGGCAAGGTGAGGCTACACATCACAAGTCTGCACAAGTATTAGAGACATGGGAGTGTCTGCACCTAGTTAAAGAAAACCATTTTGGTCTTTAGCAAACTTTTTCTTGGAAAATTGGCATGAAATTTCTAGTGTCTTATAGTGTACTGCTTTAATTACTCAAAATATTGATTTATTTGTTTATTATTTATTTAAATGAAATTATATAATGTTATTATTGTATATTATAATTTAACATAACAAGAATATTATATTGTATATTATAATTAGGGCTGTCAGTTTAACACGTTATCTTAATTAGTTATTAAAAAATAACGCGATTTAAAATCTTTTAAAGCAGTTAACGCACTGGCCCCGCCCCCAGACCTGTAAACCATCTTACATTTCATAGTTGACTGTTGACAAATATGATGCAGGGCAACAACTCCATAAATGCAGTTATGTCCTGAAATTCAAGATATTGGGGCAAAAAAAAAAAATGTACGAGTATTTGTCTCATATTTATATCACATAAGCAGCGAGAGCAATAGTGCTGTTTATGTTTGAATAGCACGAGTGCAAATGTGATTTTAAAATTTTTTTTTTTTATACAACAGTTCAGTAAATAAGAAGTTAGTATTGTGTTATATTTGAAACATAGTACTGTTTTTGCTCATTTTTGCCAACGAAAATATTACCTATAAAGCCACAGCAGAACTGTTGTGTGTCTGTGAGCAACACAGCAGTGTTTAGTTTATGATGTGTTTAGAAAATCTGCGTTTTGAACGAATTGTGTGAACCAGTGATTCAAAGGCCCATTCATAGAGAGCCGTTTACTTAATTCCTGAATGAATCAGCCGTTTGAACGAATGAATGAATGGCTCAAAAAGACATTTACTGCCACCTGCTGGCAATTTTAGTTTTTTCTTTAGAGTGTCACTTAATTTATTAAAAAAAAATATATATAAATAAATAAAACATTAGGTATAGTTCACCAAAAAAAAAAAATTCTGACATTTACTCACCCTCATGTTATTTCAAACCTGACTGACAAAGACTGTTGGTAACAAAGCTGTTTTGGTTACCAGGCAGTGACTTTCATTTCATGAACAAAAAATACTGAGGTGTTTCTCAAATTATCTTTTTATGTTTTATAGTTTGTTACAGTAGACCCTTGTAGCCTAAACATTTATGTGTAGTAATTTTTATGTTGAATCAAATAAAATATTTCTTTCTATAGCTACTATTTGTAATGTCTACTTGATACTTTCTCATTTAACACAATAATAGCTTTAAATAATCTTTTGTGGGTATTTTCACAGCCAAATTTAGTTAGATTAGTTAATCAACGCACCATGTAATTAATTAGATTAAAAATTTGAATCGACTGACAGCCCTAATGATAATCTTATTAATCTTATTAATGATAAAATTATTTTAATTATAATAGTTTTTGCATCTGATTTTAAGAGATAACATCAAATATTTGTACACATGTTTTAAAAAAGATGCTTATAAATGTTTATTTAAAATGTTTATAAGTAAAACTACAGAAACATTACAAGATGATTAAAAAATGTAAAAATATATCATACAATAAGTACTTCGTACACCAAAAATGGTATTGTGTTGATTTATTATTATTTTAATATACCAATAATAATTAAAATAACAAACACATTAATATGGTGCTGTAAAAATGCGATTATAGGCCAGGCTTTAATACAGCACTCAGTTTCATACATTATATATCTGAGATCCTGTCTCTGTTTACCATGAGGTTCTTGGCATTAAAAGTTTGAAGACTCCTGCTTTATATTTATATGACTATATAAATAAAAAAAATTTATATAAGAAGTTAATGTGCATGTTCTTTGTCAACTGTTACAGGCCTTCCAAGTGCTGTTCAATGACGCTGTAAAGTATGACGACTTGTACTCCTCTCTGATCTCCCTACTGGCTGCGGGATCCCGCTTTGACACAGCAAGATGGCAAGGAAACAAGCCCGTCACTCCAGTAGTGAGTTACACACATTCTGCAGTTTTTACAATCGACCTTGTGTTTGCGCTGGTAGCCTTTGCCCTAAATGTTGTTGTCAATCTCTGGTACAGGAAGCATGTTCCTTGCAGTACTACTTCCTGGTGCTGTGGAAAATCCTGGGAGTGCTGCCACCCTCAAAGGCCTATGTTGAGCAGCTTAAGAGCGGCAGCAGTGACCCCAGTGAGAGCGACATCTTGCACACCCTAAGATGGTCATCGAGGTTACGAGTCAGTACCTACGTTAACTGGATCAAGGTTAGTTTTATAATTTTAACACTAAGAAAATATAACCAACTGATCAAGATGCCTTGAAGTTATTAAGGTCAATCATCTGTTAACACTCTTTAATCAGGAGCACCTAGTGGAACAGGGAATGAAAGCTGACCACGCCACATCTCTGATCGAAGTGGCCTCAGCTAAATGCAGTGCAGTGAAATATGATGTGGAGCTCGCAGAGGAATACATCGCCAGACAGGTACACTCTAAGTAGCCATTAACAGCTGATATAGATTTTTCTGCTTGTCTCCTAATATATGGCCTCATAAGTCCTCTCCTTCGTAGATTTCGTCGTTTTGCTGCTTGGACCCCAACAGCATCCTACCTCTTCACCAAGTACCCTCTCTACAAACCATCTACACATTGGATGCTGTGATTTCCAAAATGCAAGTGTCTTTAGATGAGCATTTCTCCAAAGTAGCTGCTGATACAGACCCCAACAAATCCTCGGAGATCACCAAAAACCTGCTGCCCGCCACGTTGCAGCTCATTGATGTCTACACAGCCTTCACCAGGTGCTGATTACACCACATGCACCATAAGAAAAAAAGCAACCTTAAAGCAACCTCCATAATGAAGTTAATTTTAATTTCATTTTTGGATGAACCATCTCTTTAAAGTACACAAGTAAACATTAGAAAACCAAACCAAGTTCTTAAGCCCTTCCTGATTGGTTTGCTGGTCATATCTTTGCTCAGGTCATACCTGCTGATGAGCCTGCCAGAAGAAGGAGAAAACAAACCCACAGAAGCTAAACTGCAGGGTTATGCTGCTGTGTTGTCCATTGGATCCACACGCTGCAAAGCCAATTTGCTTGGTAAGAATTCTGGATAATATCATCAAGATATTAGTGACTTTTATGTCAATTTGAATATCTAATCCATTTTGGTTCCGTTTTCACTCTTTCAGGTCAGACTGTGATGCAGAATCTGCCGTCAGCTGTTCAGACATTGTGTGAAATGTGGAACAACATTCACACCAATGAATTCCCTAACTTTGGCTCATGGGTTAGAATGCTTAGCCTTCAGCTCTTTGAGTGAATATATGCTCTCACTACTTCACCGTAAACTGATTGGTTCTTTGTCCACAGCGGAACGCCTTTGCCAACGACACTATCCCATCGGAAAGTTACATCAGCGCCATTCAGGCTGCCCACCTGGGGACCCTCAGCAACCAATCATTGCCCTTAGCCTCCTCGCTCAAACACATTCTGCTCTCGTTGGTGCGCCTTACTGGGGACCTCATTGTGTAAGTCTTGAGCGACATTTGAAACAGACAAATCGTGTAAAAGATTGATAGATGCTAAAGATTACTTGTGTGTTGCTGCAGCACAGAGGAGCTGAACAGTCCACAGGTGATCCGCACGCTGCTGCCTCTCCTGCTGGAGAGCAGCACAGAGAGCGTGGCGGAGATCTGCAGCACTTCGCTGGAGAGGATCCTGGGCCCTGCTGAATCAGACGCTTTCCTGGCTCTCGTCTACGAGCGCCTCATCACAGGCTGCTACAACATCATCGCCAATCACTCTGACCCCAACAGGTGGGACCCCAGATGACCATATGACTTTTAAGCAGACTCCTGAACTGCAATCTGAAGGAATCTAGATTAATATGGTTCTGTTTCCAATTAGTGGTCTGGATGAGTCCATTCTTGAAGAATGTCTACAGTACTTGGAAAAACAGCTGGAAAGCAGTCAGGTCCGCAAAGCAATGGAGGAGTTCTTCTCCTTCAGGTAGGTCTTGGCTGAGTGATATTTCTTTAGAAATCTCTAGAAGCATTTTGCATCAATTTAATACATCGTTTTCCTCCCTTGTCTTGTAGCGGAGAATTAGTGCAGATCATGATGGCCACTGCCAATGAGAATCTATCTGCAAAGTTTTGTAACCGGGTTCTGAAATTCTTCACCAAACTATTCCAGCTCAGTAAGTAGCCATGCAACGTCTCCCAGAAATGTGCCATTTGATTTTCCCCTCTCACACGTACCATCTATGTTCATACCTCAGCGGACAAGAGCCCCAATCCCAGCCTTCTGTGCCTGTGTGGCTCACTAGTACATTAAAAATACATATACATAAATATATAATAATAATACGTAAGGCATATAATAAGTTATAATAAAATAGTTACAAATACATATATAATAATTACAATTAATGTATAATAACAATAATATGATACATCCGTGATAACAGCCAGGTGGGCGAGGGCGTCTGCACTGTGCTTCTGAGCACTCTCATTCCCATGGCAACGGAGATGCTGGCCAGCGGGGATGGGGCGGGATTCCCTGAGCTCATGGTCATCATGGCCACTCTAGCCAGTGCAGGACAAGGAGCAGGACATCTACAGCTACACAGAGCTGCCATTGACTGGCTCACGAGATGGTAAGTGACTTGGATAAAAAAAAAATATATATATATA